AAATAGACTTTTCTATAATAAGTTCAAAAAACATAATTGACCCGGCTAATTGAAGAATCCCACCATCTCCAATCGGGGGCCGAAAAGGTCGAGTGGATTGAAACCGTGTCATCACCATCACAAGAAACCAAAAATAGAACCAGGAAAAGAAAATCTACGAGTAACATCACCTGCTTGTATCTCTCAAATTCCCAACTCTCTAACCCAGGCGTTTGGCCCGTGCTTCTTCTCCACTTTCCTTACATCTGCTTTCTCCGACGAGATCTTAAATTCAAGGCAACGAAAACCATTTCTTGTGTCAAATTTAACTAAAGCAAAACCTAGGTAAGGAGTAATGCCTACACCCATTTCTTGTTTTCGATTCTTAGTCTTTTTATTTGAATTATTGAACCCAGTTGTTATTATTGAATTCGAATCTTGATTTTGCCCCTTTAAGAATCAAGATTTTGGGAGTAGTTGATTTGGGTGTTTCTGATGCTTCTATATTTTGCATTTTTATTGTCTTTTACAATTGATTACAATCATGAAACCTATCTCTAAATTCAAATTACAATGTTGAATTTAGAAGTGTAAGCAAGGTTCTTTTCCGATGCGGTATGTGGTGTATTGTGTAAATCGTTGATTCACTAAAGTTCTTTCCTTTTTTCCCTTATTGAGATAGGTGGGTAGGCTTGAGTATGCATATGTCCATGTAAAGGATAAGTGCATGGTTGATGATAAACATACTTTTACTAGAATGAAAGTTTTCCACAAGTAATGGCAATTTATAGGGGTTTTGAATGTTTCCTTCAAGATTTATGTTAGTTTTTAAATCCTGACACGAGAGATTCAGGATAACTGGTGTTTCTTTTGCAGGTGTAAATCAAGATGACACCTGTTTGTCCTTTCATTAAGGCTGCTCGTCCTGATGATACTTCTGCCAAGAAATCCAGTGAAAATCAAAATAAACCACAAGGAGCCAGTGACAGCAAGCCTAAGCAAGAGTCAACAATTTCTGCTAAATGTCCCTTTGGATACGATTCTCATACATTTAAGATAGGCCCTCTCAGCTGTATGATTTGTCAAGCACTTCTCTTCCAATGCAGCAAATGTGTACCCTGTTCTCATGCATATTGCAGGTAAGAAGTGCTAATTGCCAACTTTTCCTTCATTTTTTTCCTGCATATATGCATATGGCACATGTAATTAGGATATTTTGTTTCAATTTAACGTTTTCTGAAATTATACATCACCGACTTTTTTCTGTTCTTTTTAGAAAATCAAGAATATTTTCTACAAGTTCTTTTGACGTGGATAATTTTGCATTTCTTTAACATTTTCTGATACATTTTTATGACTTCCTCCCCTTCTTTGATAAACTCAGAGTGTGTATATCACGCTTTAAAGATTGTCCATTATGTGGTGCTGACATTGAGAAGATTGAAGATGATCCAAATCTTCAGGGTGTTGTTGACCGCTTCATTGAAGGTCATGCAAGGATCAAGAGGGCTCAAACTAATACTGAGGAGGAAGCGGAAGGTGAGAAGAAAACAGTGATATATGAAGATGTGTCCCTTGAGCGAGGTTCTTTCTTGGTGCAGCAAGCCATGAGGGTAAGTTTATCGGAGTACCTATCAGTTCATTTGTGCTCACGTTATGAATCATTTTTTAATTGGCTGGGACTTAAGTGAGTTATCCTTCTCCACTTTCCTTAATTTGAACTGTCCAAGTAGCAATTGAATCTCGAGTTTGCTTTCTATTTTTACTTTTTGGCTGTTTAATGTGCAGGCACTTCGTGCCAATAACATAGAGAGTGCAAAATCAAGGCTTAGTGTATGCGTGGAAGATGTTAAAGAAGAATTGGAAAGGATGGGGCACACTCCTGAATTGTGCTCGCAGCTGGGCGCTGTTCTGGGTATGCTTGGTGATTGCTGGTATGTCTTACTGCTTTCTCTCATTGTTGATCTCAATAGAAGTGAACAAAATTTTCTTCTTGTAAAGATCTATTTCGAAGTCTTCCTGTAAAACAACATTGTGCTCATTTCAGTCGAGCAACCGCGGATTCTAGTTCTGCAATTGCTTACTTTGAGGAGAGCGTCAATTTTCTTATGAAAGTACCCAAGGATGATCTGGAGGTAATGATAGGATATTATTTAAAATTAGTTCCAAAGTTGGTGCAATGCTATTGATCATTGTTTTATAAATGTGGCTCAATGAAGTTTTTTGTAATTATTGATTTTTGCAGATAACACATACCCTTTCAGTTTCACTAAATAAAATTGGAGATTTAAAATATTATGATGGGGATTTGCAATCTGCAAGGTCATATTATTCTCAGGCTTTGGATGTTCGCCGTGATGCAATCAAGCATCATTCATCTGTTCCATCTCAGGTCAGCAAACATTTTTATTTACTGGCTATAAATACAAATACTCGTAATATGCCCTGTGTGTAAGGGGAAACGACCGGAAAAGTTTTATTTGTTACATCCGAATACCATGGTGCTGCTTTGATTTAGAAATTATTTGCTAGGAAAATTTGATGGGCAAATTCTTTTTGGCAGCAATGATGTAGGTTATTTCTGAGTTATTTTCTTTGTACATTCCCTCCATTCTACATGCAGCATCAATTTGAGTGTTCATGGAAGTAGAGTCTGGGGGATGTTAATGCACTGTAATGAAGCAGCTGATATAAGCACTTAACCCGCAAACACATGGGCATTTGTATGGCTCTTTTGGATTTTTGATTGTATTTTATCTCTAGTCTCTTTTCTTCATAAATTTTGGTGTTGAGTGCTGTATCTATTTTACATTTTGAGAGCCCCTACTTGTTATGGGATTAGGTTCTTAACTTACTCTGTTTAGCTCATGAAAGAATCACTTCCATCCTTTTGGCACTTCTGTCCGGCCTGTGCTCCCAATACTTGCATTTCACTCCGGCTGATTTCCCGCTTTTCGTCACTCTTTATCTTTCTTTCCTTATCTTAAATTTGTGCTTCGTCCTTTTATTATTTTATTATTTAGCCCTTGGGCTCCATTTTAATGTGTTTTTGGGGAAAATGTATTTTGGAATAATTATTTTTTTGAAGAGTGTATGGTTAAAAAAAGAAGGAAGAGCTTTAGGTTCACATGTTATAGTATTTTATTGGAGAATGTGTGGTTAAAAAAAGGTGAGAGAAAAATGCATTAATATTAAAATGGAGCTCAAACAGGGGCTTATTATTATTATTATTATTATTATTATTATTATTATTATTATTATTATTATTATCCGGATTTGTGTGGTGGAAAGTAAACCCTCCTACTGGCTTATTATTATTATTATCCAGATGTGTGGGGTGGAAAGTAAACCCTCCTACTTAAGAAACAATGAGCCATTTCTTTTTCGCTAGGAAAAATAATAGCTATTATATTTGTGCCACTTCTCGTAAAACAATAACCTCGTTTAACTTTTATAGTGCTGAAACGGTTTCTGACCTCTGGAGTTAAACAATGATTGTGCTCTGTTTCGTTTAATTTCTAATAGGTTCATTTGGGGTAATATATAAATACACATTATTTAATTATTCGTTTACAGAAATTCATTATTACAGACAGCTTTTGCACTTGAAGTCCTGAGGGTTGATCTATCTATAGGCACAAAACATGACCAAAACTTTCTGAAGTCTTAACATGGATGGTTTATTGTTTCATTTGTTTTCAAGTACTTCCTAGCTCCTTGATTCTAGGATAAAATTATTCTGCAATAATAAGAATCTTTATTAGAATTATCATGTACAATATTCATCTCTGATCTACTAATGTGATGCCTACTGCCAGCATCATCACCAAACCTTTGTTATTCTTTTGGTAATGGAATTTTTCATGAGTTCCTACACTCTTCTGATTCTGTTTGGATCTTTTTATAATTTCCAGATTTTAGATATAGCTACATCCCTTGCAAAAGTTGCTGACGTGGATAGAAATCTTGCAAACGAGGATGCAGCAGTTAGCGGATTCGAGGAGGCCATTAAAATGTTGGAATCTTTAACTATAGATGATCAAGAAGTTGGCCTTGAACAACGGGTATGATTGATAATCCTATGCTTAAATCTTCATTTAGCAGTGTGGATTTCTTTTCCTTAAAAATGTGATTGAAATCCTTTTTGCGTGCAGCGTCAATCAGTGCTCAAGTTCGTCAACAGTCAACTTGTGAAATAAAAGATTCAACATTCTCTAGTGGATATCACTCTTAAAATGTGAGAAGGATGAATCATGAAAAGCCGTACCCTGTTAGTTCTGTTGCTGGATCGTGTTGAATGCCTGGTCAAGAGAGGTCCATTAGAGAATTTGTTTCGCATGTAAATGAATAAATAAGTAATGCCACTTTAACGAAGTTTGCAGCTCTGGTTACGTCACTGTGATGTCCAGGACGCTGCAGTAGTAGTTTGCTGTGCCAAATAAGTTGCTGCAAGGACTCGAAGTTGATTTCTGTGAGATAGAAGCGATTATAATGATTGAATGTGTTGTAATTCCTGTATTGTGGATGATTCTGTTCTGAACTTATATATTTGCTTTTCTTCTAAAGCTAGTTTGATAAATTGCTTGGTTGCTTGAACGAGTCTTGGCTATAATACATGTAGACCCTATTTGTCTTCCATTATTTCAACACATTGTTTGTTACAGTAAGATTTTCCATCATATATTCATCAAATAAAATATTCTAAACACAAACCAATAAAGTTACTTTAAATTTTAAATATACATTCTCCAAAATATACTATTCATTACTCGATTTCTTCTACAGTAATGGGGGATAAACACACACTTGGAGAAGTTGGGTATTTGGTCCAAGAATAAGTTTTTACACTTGCGCATCAAAATGCCCCTTTGCAGTGACGAGGCGCTACGTGTTTTTATGCATCTTTCAGAGTGCAAACCTGAAGGAAATCAAGGTAAATGGATTTGGAATACGGAACCAAAACAAGGATTGTGGAATTCCAAGGATGGTAAAATTCTCCATGTCGATTCAGTGCCCCATTCTGAATAGTAATCAGGGCGAGAATGGGGATCTTGGTTTTCATCTTGAATTTTTTTACTTTTCTGATTTACTTAAATACTAAATAAATAATTAAACAGGATGGTAAATGAGAATTTTTTTTTTAATTTCGGTTTTGCCTCTCAAAAAAATCCCCGAGGGGGCAGGAATGATAATGGCTGCTTCGTCATGTCCTAACTTGTTGTCACCTATAGTATAAACATGTAACATCTTGTTTTTTAGTCTCACAAGTTTGATCAATTTTAACTCTAGCATCATGGTACATATATAATTGGCAAGTGTCACGCTCACACATCGACAATCGACTCAGTTTGTTGACGTTGCAAATTTGACTCTTATTGCAAGAGATAATACTACGAAGAATTTGCCACTCTTGCTAGCCTTGCTAGAGTAACATTTTCATATAGGAGAGTTTCAGGACATAAATTTTGATAAATATATCACGGAGATACAGGGTTCAAAGCCAGTGCCTCCTTTCTCCAAAGCGAATGATCTATTATTTGAACTATATCCCTATCTTTAATATATAGCCCCTGTTTGAATCACATTAAAATTTTCGTTCTTATTTTACTATTTATTTTTAACTACACATTCTTCAATAAAATAATATTTTTTATTACATCAATAATTTTTCCTTTTTTTTTCAACCACACATTTTCCATAAATCTACTATTCCAAAATATATTCTTCCAAAATAATGTGGCTCAAACAATCTCATAATTTTGAAAGTTATATTTAGCCTTTATTTGGTAGAGATTTTTAAAATTCATTTTTAATTATATATTTTTCAATAAAAAAATTTACAAGTGAAATTTTTTTGAATTTATGTATAAATTTATTTTATGGGAGGTTGTAAATGTTAAAAAAATGTGAAGTATTACTCTGATATGGGGAATAACTGCCAACAATTTATAAGTGTTGCGTTGGTATAATTGTCATTGTTTCTTTTTTCTTTGAATTATACTAGATGTACACCCGGTGATTTATATAATGGATTACATCCCCTCACATGGAGAGGGCTCACAAATATTTTATGTGGTAATTATTTAAAATAATACTTTAAGTTTTTAAACTTCCAAAATTAGATTGGAAGTTTAATATTTCCAAAATCAGAATTTTTTTATATTTAATTAAATATTAATAATAATATTATAAAAATTAATTTCCCCCAACCCTAAATCTATCCACCCTAACTAAACTAATCCATTTGTCTACACTCTCCACTCTCTCACCTCTCACCACCGTTCGCCGCCTCTCACACCACCACCGCCAACCGCGTCCTCCCCCTCTCCCTCCCTCCCTGTCGGCGTACCGCATCGAAGCCTGACTGCAGTGGCGTCCCATCTTCCCCCAACCCCTCCCATCCCCCTCATTTCCCCCAACCCTACCCCTCCCCCTCCTTCCATTCTTCCTCTATCGGCGTCTCGCTGCTGCGACAGCAGCGAGATACTGGTGCTGTGTCGCAGCAGCGACGCTACTGTGAGCAGCGTCATAAAGTTAAAAAATCAGGTGATAATCAAATGGGCACTTCTGACCAAAATATGGCGATAATCAAATGGGGATCTGTGTGTGGGTGTGCGGTGGTGCTGTGGGTCCGGTGGAAGTGCTGTGTGCGCGCGTTGCAGTGTTGTGTGCGTGTGGTGGATCTCCGTGTGTGGCGGTTCGTGTAGTGGAACTGGTGTGGTGGTGTGGTGGTGGCTCTTGCGTTGTACAGTGATGCTGATCGGTTGTTGTGAGGTGGTAGTGCTGCCAGGTTGTCGTGAGGTGGTGGTGTTTTTATACAATGTGTTGATTTGTTGAGATTGTGTTATTGTGGTTCTGGTCATGACAATGACGGTGGTGGTGCCGATGGGAGTAGTGAGATGGTGTCATGGTGGTCACAAGTGTTGGTTGTGGTCACATAGTGTATTGTCTTTTCTCTTCTCACTCTCTCTTCTCTCTAGCAGTGGACGGTGGCGGAGGGTTTTGTGTTTGTGTTGGACTATCTGTGACCTTAAAATTCTACAATTTGTGACTAAAAATTAATTCTTGACCTTAAAATTCGACAATTTGTTACTAAAAATTAATCTGTGACCTTTGAAATTATTGATTTGTGACCATAAATAATCTGTGACCTCCAAAAATTTTGATCTGTGACCGTTATACAAATTGTGACCTATAAAAGTTTTGGACTGTGACCTGAGTTGTGACACGGGTGTGACTTGTGAATTTGATTGTGACCTGGGTCGTGACTTGTGAATTGGATTGTGACCTGGGCTGTGACTCGTGACCTGAGTCGTCGGAATCGGAGCAGTCGTCGGAAATGGTCACCGGAATCGGAGCGGTCATCGGAATCGGAGTAGTCGCCGGAACGGTTGTCGGAATGATCTTCGGAAAGTTCGCCGGAGTAGGGCGGTGATCGGAACGATCGCAGGAGCGGTAGGGGTGGTGAAGGTGCGATGGGTTAATTATATTATAATTAAATATTTAATAATAAATTAATTTAATAATTTATTATTTCATAAATAAAAATTTAAAAAAATTTTAAAAAAATCTGATTTTAGTAACTTTAAACTTGTATTCTTATTTTTGAAATAGACTAAACTTATACTATTGAATATGTAATCTTCCCATATTTTATTGTGTATGGGCCCCCTTCATGTGAAGGAGGTGTAATCCATTGTGTAATTCATTGTATACATCTAGCATAACTCTTTTTCTTTTTGTCAACAACCTAAGAAAAATGGACAAGCGTTTCCTGTACAAATTTTGTCAAACTCTCCATATACACACAGCATCTCTTAAAACAATCAATTGATATGTGCTGTCACCTATTAATTATTTATAAATTAAAATATCACCTATTATATTATTAAACATAATGAGTGATTATGATAAATCCATAATTAATTGGGTGAAATGCAGAATTTGTACAGCAAATCTCATCTTCTCTCAAAAGTTGGATGCTCACTTCGATCTCAGTTGCAGCGTTTTCCCGCCTTCGCAGCAGCACCTGCAGATCCAAAGAAAACCCATAATAATTCATTGTTTTCAAAATATTCGTGTGGCTTCTTCATTTCTACTAGTATAAAAAGTAAAATCATTGTTCGCTTCTTCTCTCCTATATTTCTTGCACCAATTTGCAGGATGAGAGGTTTGGATACTGTCAAATATATTATGCCTGATGAGAACTTTCCTTACTCTCTCCTCCCTAATTGGAAACCCTGCCTTCCTGGCACATGCCTTTTCACCTTCAATTTCTTAATGCTTTGTTGATTTTCCCACAAAGTTTCTGCATTTATTAGTTTTCAGCACTTACCTTAGAATCTTACAGTGTTTGTTAAACTGTTCTTTGTGTTGGATTCATAATTTTGTGGATTTGTTTTCTCAAGGTAGTAGGGTGTTTTAGAATCATGTAAAACTCTTGTTTTAAATGAGAAGTTAAAATCTGGAAGAAATGAATGTGTAATTCTCGAATTGATTTGCTCAGCTAATTACATTGTGTTATATACATGAGGTTGGTTGCAAAGAATATTCTAGAATAAGTAACAAATTCAACAAATTTAACAGATGTTTAACAAATTGATTCTAACTCCTAGATATCAGGAAGTGCCAAATCTGCTGCTGCCCTTCCTTTATTCTCGATAGCCAGCTGGAAATAATTCTAACTCCTCCCTTCAAGGTGGAGTGTACTCAAGCACTCCAAGCTTGTCTCTAAGAAGTTGGAATCTAGAGTGTGACATAGGTTTTGTCAAAACATCTGCTGTTTGATCTGATGAAGGAATGTATTGAATTTTCAGCTGATTCTCCAATACCTTATCCCTCACAAAGTGTACATCTAATTCTATGTGTTTGGTACGGGCATGATACACAGGATTAGATGCTAAGGCACTAGCACTTTGGTTATCACACCATATAGCAGGAACTGAAGGCTGGAAGATATCTAATTCGCTCTGCGAGGATTGAACCCAAGTTATCTCAGCAGTGCAATGAGTTAAAGCTCTATATTCTGCTTCTGTACTGGACCTTGCCACTACATGCTGTTTCTTAGAGCTCCATGATACTAAATTATCACCAAGATACACACAATATCTAGCCGTCGACCTCCTATCATCTGGACAAGAAGCCTAGTCAGAATCTGCGAAGGCAGTGATGTCGAGGCTGTCATTTTTCTTGATGGTTA